CTCGACCATTGTCCCTAGTCTCCTCTGTTAGCCAGATTTGTCCCATTCTGCTTCTGAGCACAGGTTGGTAAATATCAGTTTCATCTGACCCCATGTGCTCTCGATGGTGAAAAGTTAAATTTCTCTTGTAAATTATTTCCTGTGCTTGTAGAGTTCACTCTTAAAGCATGGGAAGCAGAATCTGTACTGTTTTTCTTGACTCTCATCAGAAATAAAAGGGTTTCCTTTGCATTAAGGTCTTGAGAGAGAGAGAGACAATAAAAAGTTTCATGGACATTTGATGCATTTAGATTTTTATATATAAAAGATCTCTTTAAAAACATGTGTGTGATATTTTTATAATCAATTTACCAGATACTTAGTGGATGTTTGTTACAGACCTGGCATTGTGTGCACTGAGCAACAAAAATAAGACTTATTTAGGGGGGCAGTAGGGTCATTCTCTGAACTTTTACAAGTACTTTGAATCTTGGATTATTTTTTTCTTATTGGTCTAACCTCACATTTAACATATTGTCTGATATTAATATTCAATAAATATATAACAAATTTAATTTTTCTTTTTGAACCTATTTTTAAAAAACAGATATATTAAGTGAATTCAAAACTAATTTATGTAGATATGTGTCTTTCAGCCTGAGATAGTGAAACAGACAAAAAAAACAAGATGAGGAACTAATGATACATTACAAATGCTTAACTCCTTTTCATCAGCCAACAAATACCTAGACAATTTCATGAGGGCTGAAGCATTTTGTTTAGTCTCATTAACACACATCTTTTGGTAATCAACATCACACAGAGCTAGAAGACCTGGAAATGAATTTGGCCCCAAATGTTGCCTATCAAATAGATAAGAATTCCATGGATGATTAACACTGTGTTTCATAACATGACTATTTGAATTGGGATATGTATTATCTACATGAATAAGTAAATGAAAAGGAACAGATCTGAACCTATCAAAATGACTTCAACAAGATTCTGAAATAAGTGTGTGATTTATTCATTAGTTTTAAAATTTGTGAGGTACAATTCCTGAATATTTTAGATATTTTAAGACTTCTGTTCTTTGATCTCTTTTGTATATTAACTTCTGTTTAATCAACATTTTTATATTTAGAATATTCATGTTAGAACATCCCTAAATTACTTAGTTGGACTTTACTCTTCCATATCCTTTACATATCTTCTATCATGTCAACAATAGTCACAATCTGACAATATCAGGATTATTTCTTTGTTCTTGAGCTTGGCATGAAAAATAGCCCTTCATCTATGGTCCCTTTTCTTCTTTTTTATCTTGATTTATTTCCCAGCATACCACCTATCACTACTTGAGTTTATGGTATATATTTTTATATTTATTTGTTTATTGTTTGTCTCTATGGAAGGGGAATATTTCTAGTCTTTGCTCACTGACACTTCAGAAGCAATTTTGAACTTTCATGAAAAGGAAAACTTTGTAACAGGAAGTGGGTTTAGTGTTTAGTTTAAAATCTAATATGTATTTCTAAATTTTAAGATTTATATTAATTTTATGACATATTTACAATCTAATAACAGTACTCAGCTAACAGAGCTAATTTACCAGATCTATAATATTTATGGATATTATTCTTGTTTTAATAAGGTGGTTCAGCTTTAAAGGAGCCTCATTAGGTTTTCAAGGCTTGATGAACTTATTTACAAATTCACATTAAGATTTAACAAGTAATTTTAGGAAATCCATTATACAGCTACTACAAAGTCTAATTAAGACAGCTTGTAATAAGATTATATGGGTTTATTAAACTCAATTTTTATTTACATTCATATTATAAATGTGTAATTATCTTTTATAACTAAATGTGCAATGGGTGTATACACTTTCCCACTAACAAGCTAGGTAAGCTAGAGCAACGAATGCCAATAAGTAATACATGACAAACGTGGAGAATATTTAATCATTCCACAACACATTCATCTTTCTCTTTCATGAATTAATTTTGAACTTGAGAATCTCAAAAATATACAGAAAAAAATGCCCATCAACTTGTACATGTGCCATTTTGCATGAATTTCAAGAGATTCACAGATCTTGAAACCTATTTGGAGAACATCTACAGCCATGTTATTCATGTGAGTATGTCTTCATTCTGTTAGTTTCTACACACTGTCTTCAAAGCTGTCTTCACTTTAGCCAGCATGTAACTCCTTTGGTGGCAGTTACACATACCAAAGTTGTTGACCCTCTTCATAGAATGTTGCATTTGAGGGGCATAAGGAAAAAGTTCAGGTAAAGAATATTGCAGGAAAATATTTGGGTAAATTCCTACCCATAACCCTCTCAAACTTTAATATGTCATTTATTTAATTCTCTCTTAATTTAGTGGTGAAGTAGCTATCAAGTATCCTGTATCTATGATTCTGCATGAAAAGGAAAGTTGACTATATACTAAAGATGGAGTGTTGTAATAGCAGCCATTCAGACAAGACTTAAAGAACAAACCATAGAAAAAATCAAGTTGGGGATAAGGGCAAAAAATATAGGCTCTAAATGATCTTCCCTATGAATAAGCTTTATTTAGCAGATGTCTAGTGACAGCCCTCACCTCTATCACTCGTATAACAGATGTCTATTAACAACAGCCATGTGTGGCCACAGTGGGGGAAAGAAAAATGGATGAAGTCTGCTTTGAAAGCCAAATTTTCTTTGAGGAGTCCAGAATACAATTCTGATTCTTAATGTTTAAGATTGTTAAATTATAGTACATGTTCATTACTAGTTAATGACAAAAGCAAATACTATAATTATAGACTCTAGAGCCATTAAAAATGTCTCTGCAATCCATTCTTATTCATCCAAATCAAATTTAATGCTATGTACACTACTGGTATAAATTGAGGAATCCTGTTTTATATTAGAAGACGGGAGAAATATAGTTTATAACCCATGGTTTGTCATTATTCTGTACATTTAATCAGATACGCATGTACTTTTTCTGAATTAATGGGCATCTAGCAGGTTTCTGCCATTTATTTTGTTTCATTTAATTTCATAGGTAATGTCTCAACTCATAATTTAGAGAAAATTAAAGCTGAAAACAACTTTTCAAGACAAATATTTGAAAGAGATCTTTGTAGACTGAGTTTCTGAGTAAAGGATTCAACTAGGATTAGAGAAAAGATTCACCTTTATTGTGTTTTCCAAGGGAAGTAAGAGGTAAGTGACGCAAGAAAGAAAATAGAAGCAGTAACATTTGCAATGAACAGTTCTGATTATTATGACTAAATGAAAGCAAAATGAAAGTCAACATTTCTTTATTTCACATTTAAGAACTAAAGATTTACTGATGAATAAAGATAAAGGTCTACTGAGTTTCATAAGTTTACTATTAAAACTGAAATTACCCTCATTGACAGGTGAAATTGATCTGACATTTCACAAAAGAGGATAAGTGGATTTTTAAAAATGGCTTTCTTCTCCTTACATGGGACACTTCAACTATTTAAAAAATTTAAAAGTAATTTCTCATGGAAATAGAATCAATTTTCTATATGCCTGAAGCACATTAATAAGTAGACTGAAGTTCTTCCCCTTCAACCAAGTGATAAGTCAAAGTAAAGCACCCTGAAGGCTATTACATTGCAGAAAATAACAATTTTCTCCTTGGAAAAAAAGTTATTGGTTGCTGCTAAATTCAACATAAGAAATACGAAGTTCCAGTGGCTCTGCTCTGCATAGGAAAGTCTTCTATGGTGGTCAACTAATGACACATAACGTTTAAATGTCTGTCACATTTTAACTCATGAGTTATTTAAATCTATTTTCTCAGTCTTGTATAATCGACTCATGTCTCCCATGGTGCTTTTTACCCCACCTTCCCTGAAGTTTCCATTTTTGTTTTGAGTTGTTCTCATTACAGCCAGTATGACAATGATAATGTTGAATGTGTTTTTTCCAATATAAATATAACCTAGATATTACACCAGTAAGTATAGATGCTTAAGCAAATAGCCTGTCACCATTTTGAGCATCACAGCTCTGAGTAAAATGCGTGTTGTGAACTTTCAGGTTCATAAATCATAATAGCTTAAAAAAATTAAACAAAGAAAATTATTTTCAACCAATTAACAAATGTAAACATAAATAGTTCTAAACCAAGATTTCTCTCTTTATATTCCTTATTAACTCTACCTCATAAAGTATATTATACATTTAATAGTTTTCTTCTCCCTGATAACTGCCTATATCTTTCAAATACATCAGAAGTCCCCCTTCTCCATATTTTTTTGGCAGTCCTGGGGTTTGAATTCAGAGCTCTCTTTGCTCTTGCTAGGCAGGTGCTCTACCACTTGAGCCATGGCTCCAACCCTTTGTGCTCTGGCTATTTTGGTAACAGAGTCTTGCTTTTTGCCCAGGCTGGCCTGGACTATGATCCTCTTAATTTAGTCTTCCTGCTTTGGCTGGGATGTCAGCCATGCAACACCACACCCAGCTTTTCTCTGTTGAGGTGAAGTCTCACAAATCGGCCTGTAACTGTAGTCCTCCAGATCTCAGCCTCCCAAATAGCTAATGCTACCAGCACTTGGCTTTCTTCCCCAGTTCTTATCAGCTCACCATTCACTGCCCAATACTATAGTAGGCCTTGATTTATAGATTATCACAATGAAGTTATGATATTTAGTTTTAGTAGCAAAGAAACAGTGATCTCCTGGATACAAAGAAAAAGATCAAAATTCAAAACCAAGAGCAAATCTAGTAACACTGCATTTTAAAATAGAGCAAATGTTATTTTCACTGACAGATAAAACTCTGCATATTTATCATATAGAACATGATGCTTTGAAATTAATATACATTGCAGAATAAGTAACTAAATATAGATAATTTTTTTGTTGTGTGCAGGGTCTCACCATTTTAATAAAGCTGCTATCAAAATCTTGTCCTTAGTTTTATTTTCCCTCTACCTTTTAGTGATTAATGATACCCAGTCTTAGAAGATATCTCATCTCACCTTCCTGCAGGGCTAGAGCCACTGTCTTCACTTTCCCATTGGTCATTTTTATTTCTTGGAACTGGGGGCTGCAGCATTTCAGCAGCTAGAGGATCAGCATCATTTTCTTCTCTACCAATCCATTCTCCAATCACACGGGGCCTCAGAAGAGAATTAAAAGAGACTGTTTCCTGAAGAGAAGAAAAGAACATAGTGCTTTAGATTTCCTTTCCTTGTTCACAGGCAGGAAAATAACTTTGCCTAGAGTTTTGGCCACTTACTCAAACCAAAATATCCCTTTTTCCATAAAACTCCAGTTTGCACCATCCCTACTCAATGACTTGTATGTGATTTGTTCTAATTCCTGAAAGTCACTGTGATCAAGGATCTAGGAGTGAAATTGTGGCTTTGAATTTAGAAGGCCACATGTGTTTTCTTGGGAAGGCAGGGTGGGTCCAACATTCATGGTACAGGAAAAGAGTGATATAGGGCCCACAAAGTAAAAGAGCCTGGTGTCACTGCTGGGAAGTGGTAAATAGTTTCTTGAAGGAAATTGGGTTGGATTCAGGGAATAAAAGCAAGAGAATACAGATCCAGAAGAGTCTATTCTTCTAGTTGTGAAGTATTCTGGACCTTTAGGGATCCAGGAGAGGTCTGAAGCAGAATACTATCATTAACAAATACATCATTCTAATTCAAAAAATGTTTATCTCTTTTCATAGATTTGAAGCGAGGTGACTCATTGGTCCACTTAGATATGATGTAGCTACTAAAATGATATTGTAGGAGAATACTGAATGTATGTAATTCCTAGAAATATCTTAAGTGAAAAAAGGCAAGTTCAAAAGCAATATATATATAAGATGATTTAATCTTTGTTTAAAAAATCATATGGGTTTATACCCATAATCCACTCACCAATACATTTATTTATTCATTCTCCAATATTTATTAAAACTTAGAATGTAAAACAAAGTACTTCATATGCAAGGAAAGACAATGGTAAGGAAGACCACAATTTAATAAAAGTTTTATCTGGATGGAGGGCATGTAGGTGATTTTAATTTCTTGAGTTGGTACTTCCATGTCTTCTCGGTATTCTAAGGCACATATGTACTTGTGTGGGCATTTAAAAAATATCTTGAGCTAAGAAACACATACTTTACTTAAGTCATGTTTAGCAAAAAACTAATATTAGAAGTCTTGAATAATTCTTTAAAAATTTAGACCTGGTGTTCTTAGTCTTTACAATTCACAAAAATATGCAAATCTAAATCAACACAATGCAAACACATTATTAAAATATATAATTACAATATGTAAATGTAATATACAGTATCAAAAACAACATATAAAATGCAACTTGGAACATATTTGATGAGCATTTCTCCAAGTGACAGAAGGTAATAGAAAACACTTGGATGTCTTAATATTTCTCCAGCCTACATGAAATACAGCAGGTAAATTTTAGGAAGAGTGTTCATATAACTTAATGACTAATTGGAAATCCATCTGTACGTATGTGCCCTGAATCAGGAAAACAAAGCACTCCCATGGATTTCAGCTATGAAGTCATACATGAGTTAATGTTTTGAAATAACTGAAATTACTGCCACAACTTAATATCATCTGAAGCACAAGAATTACAATTAACTATATGGGGAAAAGTTAAATTTATATTTACTTTTAAAATCAGATTAGGGAAAAATGTCTCAGAATTTTTAAAAGAAATCTATGAACATATAGCTTCAAAATCCATTTTGGCCTGTTTAACTTTGAGATATTATTCTCTGTACTTACTTCATTTTCTCCAACTGTAAAATGGAGGTGATAGGAATAGTAAAACTTATTATACCAAATGAGTTAGCAGTTTATGTAGTGAAGCCATGAAATTCTGTGCATATGCTAGACATCATTATTTACAGACACAGACTCCACTCGGGCCATTTTTATATATGTGCCATATCTGGAAATAAAAAGATAAGCTGAACTGCTAGAATGGTCAGGTTGGATAAGTACAGATGATTGGTTGTCAATATGGACAAAAGAACAGAATAGGAAATTGATGGTGTAGGTTTTCAGCCTATGAAGTTTCATTGTATAATGGGGGTCATATTTGGTTTAGAGATTTGTGTTACTATAGGCTCAACAATAACATAAGAATTGGTACAAAGAAACTGATCATTGTAACAACAGAACTGCATAGGCTTAGACACAATAAACAGAAAAGGAAAGAAGGGAGAAAGGAAGGGAGGGAGGGAGGAGTAGGATTTAGAGTTGAATGCAATCAAAAAGGTTGAAAACTGCAGGCAATGCAAAATAACTCCTTGGATGCTTACTGAGAAATTAAATAAAATGATAGCCGCCACTGCTGTTGGAAAGTAGGACACAGACAGAAGGATAAGTGGTTTGATACTTGGGATGTTTAACTCCAGCTGGCAGCAGAAATTTACTGAGAAATAGCTGATGAGCAAGGCAAAACAAAGAGTTGCAAACAAGGTCAGGGGAGCTGAGAAGGGACTACTTTACAGGTGAGAAAGAAGGACTCTACTACTTTTACATTCCTGAATGCACAAAGCTTTTTATGCTTGTATTGATGAAAAGAGGAACAAAGAGTACTTTCTCTTTTAAAAATGTATTTCTGATAGTTCTTGAATCTATTTACATGTCATAGATTGAAACAGCACATTTTTCTTTGGATATATCATTTAGATTTGATTAAGTTAACATCTCTCCAAATATCCTTCTAAGAGGGGTTTAGTGAAGAAAATGGTTCTTAAAACTACATGTATGAGACCACAGGTATCAGTAAATGGCAAAGGAAATGTAAAGATTCACATTGAATGCACAATGTTTTGAAAATATTTTAAGTGCATGGGAAATCAAGTCATTTAAAACTCCAAGAATAATCTTTATAAAAAAGTCCAAATTATTCCTTGAAAATGAAAACCTTCTTTCCAGGTTAGAAGTTCCTAGATATTGAGGTTCTTAAGTAAACTTGCTTCAGAAATTCTCCCATAGGTCAGATTTGCTTACTATTGCCCACCAACTAGAAGTTCACATATACTAGAACTAGTTACTTTATTTCATTCCTATTCTTTAAGGAAGTCAGCTATTAATGTCTAACCAACAGTAAGTTCAACTAAGTATAACTGAGTATAACTAATGGTTACATTCTGTTATGGTTTGGATCTTAAATGTCCCATGATCTTAAATGATCTTAAAGGCCATGTCCACCAAAGACACCAGTCTGTGGTGCTATCGGCAGGTGGTAGAACCTTCAGGAGGTGGAGTCTAATGGGAAGAAGTTAGTGCCCTTAAAGGGGATAGAGACCCTAGCCTCTTCTTCCCTTGCTTTCGTCTTCCTGGCTGCAAGGAAATGAGCAGCTTTGCTCCACCATATATATATATTATGCCTGACCACAGGCTCAAAGTAATGGAGCCAAGTGACCATGGACAAAAACTTTTAAAACTGAAAACCAAATAAATGTTTCCTTCTTTTAAGTTGTTTGTCTCAGGTATTTTGTTCCAATAACAACAGAAAGCTGACTGACACGTAATCCATGTTAAATGGACCTAGTTTCTCTTAATAAAACAATGTTCATGGAAGACTGGGGTCATGTCTTAAACTTCTTTGTTCCCTCCATAGTAACCAGCACAATTCTAATTTGCAAAATAAGTACAAAAAGACATAACTGAATTTAAAAATAATTCAAGGAATAAAAAATAATGTATAAGTGATGAAGAATGAAGTATGGTCATATCGAGCTAAAAGTCATGTAAATGTTTCTTGGACAACACCAAATAATATTTAAGCCATATCAAAAAATCTACATGCTGATGATCCACTTGGAATAAGTATTTCTTATCAAGTCCTAAGCTTTAATTAAATTTCTTTAAACCTGCCAGCTCACAAAAGAGTATTTGTGAAGCACATAATCCTTATACAAAATGCATTAAGTGTTTGACACAATAATAGTCTCAAACTAATCTATGTATATATTTGTGATACATGAATCCAAATATAAAACTTGAATTGGAGATTACCAAAGTAAACACATAGTTAAAAGTTCCTTCTTGTTCAATTGCTGTGTGCTTCCCACACTCACTGCCTCCTTTAAAATGATCTCCAATTATAAAATTTCACTTCCCTCTCTGATGAAATTCTACTTTCTTATATACCCAACAAATTAGGTAACTGATATGGTGTTGAATAAAAATAAGGTCCATAGTACAAATCTTTTATGGATTACAGAAGCCTAATTAGGATGGCCTGTGGTCAAGTTAAGTAAGTTCCACAGTATTTCAGAATTTCTGAAACACCATTTATATACATATTATAAACTGTATTTACTTAGAATGCTCCCTTTTCCAAATATCCAATAATGTTACATGAAATTTAACAAAATATCTTCAAATGCAAAGCTGGGAGAAAGGAGCTTTGAGAACAGATGAGAATGTTTTCCAGAGGGAAACTCTGCATCCAGACAGGAAACTGGGACATAAGAAAGTCATTGCCCTGAGTATTTCAACAGCTCCTGAAGCCTATCGCCTTTGGCTTTAGCAATCACGCCAGTAGTGTGTGGGAAACAGATGACATTAATGATTCTGATACTTCAACCTCTCTGTGTCTGTGCCTTTTGTCATGTGACTTTACAGCTCCTCTTAGAAAGGTGGAATATATTTCCCTTCATATATGACTTGCTTTAGCCAACAGAGTAGACAGAAGTTATCATATGCCACTTACAAGTGTAGGCCTCAGAGACTCCTTGGATATTTTCATTTACCTTTCTGCATTTCTGCAAAAGTCATGAGAAAAACATGCCTGTGTTACTCCACACCTCTCAAAAGAGAGATAAGAAACACTTGGACAAGATCTGAGCCACTTCAGGCAAACCTAGCTTCTATCAGTTCACAAAGAACCATGCTCCAAACACTTGAGAAATTCCCACTGGAATTTGCAGAGCCTATCCAGTCAAGAACCAGCTAAATCAGCTAAGCCACAGAGAAGCAAGAGAAATAAGTATTGATTGTAGTAAGCCACTGAATTTTGGAGTAAATTGTTAGCTTATTCTTAACTGAAATGTGGTATTAAAAGAGTAAATTACTTGCCATTGACTTTGGGAGATAGTGGCAACAAGAGGCTGTGTGAGTGGTAAGGAAATTATTATGGGAGGATAGAGAAAATGCA